TTGCATTCATGCAGAAAGTTTACAAATAATTAATGTACAGTTTACTGTTTGGTAAATATTTTTTTTTCAGATGGAGTCTCGCTGTCTTGCCCAGGCTGGTGTGTAATGGTGCGGTCCTGGCTCACTGCAACCTCCACCTCCCAGGTTCAAACGGTTCTCCTGCCTCAGCCTCTGGAGTAGCTGGAATTACAGGAACCTGACACCATACCCGGCTAATATTTTTTGTATTTTTAGTGCAAAAACCAGCCTGTTGGCCAGGCTGGTTTCGAACTTCTGACCACAACAGGTCCACTCACCTTGGCCTCCCAAAGTGCAAGGGTTACAGTCATGAGCCACCGCACCCTGCCCAGTTTGATGAATTTTCAAAGAATGAACATGCTTGTGTAACCAGAACTCACATAAATAAATAAAATTTTACCCACATTTCAGAGCATTCCCCATCATCATTCCTTCTGATTGCTACCTTCCCACCCAGAAGTAACTGCTATCCTGACTGCTAACACTATGGGTTGATTTTTCCTGTTTTATTTTTTCAACTTACATAAATTGAATCCTACAGAGTTGGGCGTGGTAGCTCACGCCTATAATCCCAGCACTTTGGGAGGCCAAGGCAGGCAGATCACCTGAGGCCAGGAGTTTGAGACCAGCCTGACCAACATGATGAAACTCTTTCTCTTGTAGAGAAACCCTGTCTCTACTAAAAAAAATACAAAAATTAACTGGGTGTGGTGCTGTGTGCCTGTAGTCCCAGCTACTTGGGAGGCTGAGGCAGAAGGGTGGCTTGATCCTGGGAGGCAGAGGTTACAGTGAGCCGAGATCACACCACTGCACTCCAGCCTGGCTGATAGACCCAGACCTTGTCTCAAAATTTTTTTTTTAAACCACAATAAATGGAATCCCACAGTAAATATATTTGTAGATTGATTTATTTTATAGAGATGAAGTCTTGCTGTATTGCCCAGGCTGGAATGCAGTGGGATCATCGTAGCTCACTGTAACCTTGACTTCCCAGAGTCAAGCAATCCTCCCATATCAGCCTCCTGAGTAGCTGGGACTACAGGTGTGCACTACTGCACCCAGCTAATTTTGTATTTTTTGTAGAGATGGGGTTTTGCCCTACCCTGTCATCCAGGGTGGTCTCAATCTCCTGGGCTCAAACGATCCTCATGCCTCAGCCTCCTGAATTTTTAAAATAGCAGTATGGAAAATGTTTACCTATAACCTGAAACCCTGATATCATAAACTACTTTTATTTTTGTATATTTTCTTCCATTCATTTCTGTATGACTGTTTCATGAGTAGGGTATTCCTTTTTCATACTTATAGACATGTTTTGCATGGAGCTTGCTATCTTAACATATTACAAGCATTTTCTATGTTGTATGGCCTTTATGTTTATAAAAATACGGCCGGGCATGGTGGCTCACACCTATAATCCCAGCATGTTGGGAGGCCGAGATGGGTGGATCACAAGGTCAAGAGATCGAGACTATCCTGACCAATATGGTGAAACCCTGTCTCTACTAAAAATACAAAAAAATTAGTTGAGCATGGTGGCACATGCCTGTAATACCAGCCACTCGGGAGGCTGAGACAGGAGAATTGCTTGAACCCTGGAGACAGAGGTTGCAGAGAGCCAAGATTGCGCCACTGCACTCCAGCCTGGCAACAGAGTGAGACTCCATCTCAAAAAAACTAAAAATAGCAAAAAGATTACAAAGAAATCTGAAAATGTGAACAAAAAGAAAAGTAGTCAATATTCTTAATGTTTATATAATGGATATATCATATCCGTGTTGCCAAGGTTAGTCTCGATCTCCTAACCTCAGGTGATCCACCCGCCTTGGCCTCCCAAAGTGCTAGGATTACAAGCATGAGCCACTGTGCCTGGCCTTCTGCTAGCTTTTAATAGCCTAGTTGTTTTATGTTATGGAATACTGCCTCCTCTATTTCTGCTCAGTTCTCCTAGAGTAACAATCAGGACTGCATAATTTATGTATTTCATTGTTTATATTCGTCACTGGAGTGTTATCTTGTCCATGTTAGAATCTTTATGTTGTTCAACTTTTTATTTCCAACAGTTTATAGTCCCTGCCATATAGTAAGCAGTGTTAGTAAAACTTTAAAGATTCAATAAATGAAATAAAACAATATACGTGGAAGGGCATCATAGCTCTTGACAGCCAAGAACAGTATATAAAAGACCTTGAAGTATTTAGCAAGATAGAAAGCTCATTCAAAGCAAAAGCACATAAACCATGATACAAAGACAAGCTTTCCCCAGAACAAGTCTCAGTCGTTAATCAGAGAGTACCCAGTAATCAAAGCTTATAGAAATGATCAATCTTTGGCTGGGTGTGGTGGCTCACACCTGTAATCCCAGCACTTTGGGAGGTCGAAGCAGGTGGATCACCTGAGGTCAGGAGTTCGAGACCAGCCTGTTCAACATGGCAAAACCCCACCTCTACTCAAAATATAAAAATTAGCCAGGCGTGGTGGTGTGCACCTGTAATCCCAGCTACTCAGGAGGCGGAGGTGGAGGTTGCAGTGAGCCAAGATCATGCCACTGTACTTCAGCCTGGGCAACAGAGCAAAACTTCATCCCAAAAAGAAAGACAGAGAGAAGAGAGAGAATCTTTGCCCAAACCTGGATATAAGGAACTAAAAAAAAAAAAAAAAATTGCTGGAGAAGAGACTTGGCTGAACAACTAAAAACATGATGAATGGACATCATCCTTAACAAGAGGCTATTGAAGAAAGAATGCAAGATGGGGCACAGGCACAGTGGTTCATGTCTGTAATTCCAGCACTTTGGGAGGCCGAGGCTGGAGAATTGTTTGAGCCCAGGAGTTTGAGACCAGCCTGGGCAACATAGTGAGACTCTGTCTCTACCAAAAAAATCAACCAAACTAACCTGGCGTGGTGGCATGCACTTGTAGTCCCAGCTACTCAGGACGCTGAGGCAGGATGATCTCTTGAGCTTAGGAGGTGAAGGTTGCAGTGAGTTGTGATTATTCTACTGCACTCCAGCCTGGGTGACAGCAAGACCCTGTCTCAAACAAAACAAAAAATTTTTAAACAGAATGCAAGATGGTAATGAAGGTATGAAAAGTCAAATTTTAGAGCCAATTCTAAATTCAGGCCTAGAGCCGATTATAAATTCAGGCCTCATCTAAATACATATTTTTCCCTTTCTGCTTAATGATACCCACATGTGGTAGCATACAGTGTGTATATATATATATGCAGAATTGATTTGGGAGTGTTTTACTGCTGTTAGTATTCACTAAACTGCAGGGCGAATCTGTCTTTCTTTTCTACTAGAACATTCTATTTGCTTTAAAATTTGAATGTGCTTATTTTAACATTTAGCCATGCCATCTGTTGCCTATTTGCATGGGTAATTCTATTTTGTATTTATGTAACTCCCATTAAACTGAATAAAAGTGTGATCATGGCACATGTGGGATTTTTCTTTTCTTTTTTTGAGATGGAGTCTTGCTCTGTCTCCCAGGATGGAGTGCAGCGGCGCCATCTCGGCTCACTGCAACCTCTGCCTCCTGGGTTCAAGCAATTCTGCCTCAGCCTCCCCAAGTAGCTGGGATTACAGGCGCCTGCCACCATATCCAGCTAATTTTTGTATTTTTAGTAGAGACGGGGTTTTGTCATATTGGCCAGGCTAGTCTTGAACTCCTGACTTCAGGTGATCCACCTGCCTCAGCCTCCCAAAGTGCTAGGATTACAGCGTGAGCCACCGTGCATGGCCGGGATTTTTCTTTTTTATTAGAATAGGATAAAATTAGGTTAGTAGTAATTTGTGCTTTAAAGGCTAATTATTCATGCACTTGGCATCTTGGCACAGGAAAAAATTAAAAAATAAAGTATTGAAAATCTGGAGAATTTTGAGACAGGGTCTGGTTCTGTCATGCAGGCTGGAGTGCAGTGGTATGATCACAGCTCACTACAGCCTCGATCTCCCAGACTCAAGTGATCCTCCTACCTCAGCCTCCTGTGCAGCTAGGACAACAGGTATGTTGTCCATGCCTGGCTAATTTTTTGTATTTATTTGTAGAGACAGGGTCTCACCATGATGCCCAAGCTGGTCTCGAACTCGACTTAAGCAATCTGCCCACTTCGGCCTCCCAAACTGTTGGGATTACAGGTGTGAACCAATAAATCCGCCCAGGAGAAATTTTTGAGAAATTAATTTTCAAATAAAAAGTAGTTACTGTTCTCCCTAAATGTTATATATTTCAAACGTGTTCTTTAGGGAGGTGGGGTGAAATATTCAAAATGGCTATTTAGGGCTGGACACGGTGGCTCACACCTGTAATCCCAGCAGTTTGGGAGCCCAAGGAAGGTGGATTGCTTGAGGTCAAGAGTTCAAGATCAGCCTGGGCAACGTGGCAAAACCCCGTCTCTACAAAAATATGTGTGTGTGTGTGTGTGTGTGTGTGTGTGTGTGTGTGTACAAAATTTAGCTGGGCATGGTGTTGAGAACATGTAGTTGCAGCTACTCAGGAGGCTGAGGAGGGGGAGTGAACTGAGCCTGGGAGGTCAAGGTTGTAATGAGCTGAGATTGCCCCATTGCACTCCAGCCTGGGTAACAGAGCCAGACCCTGTCTCAAAAAAAAAAAAAAGTCTATTTAATATTTTTAGATGTATTTGAGGTCAGGGCAATAACCAAGTGTCCAGACAGTTTATTCCAAAGTGCAATTTCAGGAAAATTCATATTTTATCTGTAAGTTATAGTGGGACATTTGTTTAAAATATCAATTTTTCTTTGCACAAATGAAGTAATCTTCCAATTTTAATTTTTTATATCTTTATAGTAAATAATTGTCATGCCGTATAGATACAAGATTCCTTATTTTGTTTTTTTATAATTAAGAGCTGAAGGTTTATATACTCATTTTAATTTTCTTCATGAAGAACTGGGAGTAGTAAAATGGTGTGTCTTTTGTGTCTATGTTAATTTCTCCTTAAACAATTTTTCTAAGATGGTGGAGTTACCTTAGGAATGGTGCTTTTATGTGAAGCTGCTACCTCTGACATGGATATTGGAAAGCGAAAGAGTAAGTCACCTTACTCAAAATGTAATAATGCTGCCTGTAATATGGAAAAAAAGTGATCTCTTAATCACTTTTCCTCTTTTTTTTTTGAGACGGAGTTTCGCTCTTGTTGCCCAGGCTGGAGTGCAATGGCGTGATCTCGGCTCACCGCAACCTCTGCCTCCTGGGTTCAGGCAATTCTCCTGCCTCAGCCTCCTGAGCAGCTGGGACTACAGGCACGCGCCACCATGCCCAGCTAATTTTTTGCATTTTTAGTAGAGACGGGGTTTCACTATGTTGACCAGGATGGTCTCGATCTCTTGACCTCGTGATCCACCCACCTCAGCCTCCCAAAGTGCTGGGATTACAGGCGTGAGCCACTGCACCCGGCCTCACTTTTCCTCTTATGTATAGGATAAGTATGTTATTTTACCCCTTCACTACTTTTTTTCTTTTAATGTCATGTCTGTTATTAAACCCCTTTACTATTATAAAAGTAACGTATGCTCATTATAGAAAACGTAGAAAAAAACAGAAGCATGAAACATTTTGTGGGAGATTCATCACCCATTATTCCACCACTGGAAAACTAATTATTTTTAAATTATATTTCTTTCCATTTATGAAAACTGTGTATAAAATTTTGGGACTTTATACCCCCTTTTTAAACAGGAGTTTAATAACATAACTTTTTCTATATGCATAATTTTAAGCTTATACTCTGTTTTTGTTTTCTTTAAGACAGGATCTCATTCTGTCACTCGGACTGGAGTGCAGTGGCATAATCATAGCTCACTGCAACCTCCGCTTCCTAGGCTCAAGCTGTCCTCCCACCTCAACTTCCCGAGTAGCTGGGACTACAGGCGTGTGCCACCAGGCCCAGCTAATATTTTGTACTTTTTGTAGAGATGGGGTTTTGTCACTTTGCCCAGCCTGGCCTCAAACACCTGGACTCAAGTGATCTTACCACCTCAGCCTCCCAGAGTGTTGAGATTACAGGCACGAGCTGCCGTGCCTGGCCAACTTATATTCCATGTTGTAATTTAACTATTCTGATTTTTTAAAAACATTTAGTTTTTTCCTAATTTCAATTAAAATAATTTTTTAGTTACTGTCATGATACCTTAAGCATCATTCTTTTTTTTTTTTTCTTGAGACGGAGTTTTGCTCTTATTACCCA